TTTCACTGCTAGACAACCTAAAGTCCACTCTATTTATCACATATATTCCAGGCCACGCCGGAATCACATACAACGAAGCGGCAGACCATCTCGCAGGACAAGCTAAGCCTATTGGACACATTACTTTAAATACGAAGGATGTGTCAAGCCGCTTAAGAGAGGTGTTGAGTGATGGGGAAGAAAGGAAAACTTGGTGGTCGCTAAGCCGATTGAAAGATCTGGGCTTTAGTTTCGGCGATGGAGCCAACTGTTCAACAAGAAAGACTGCAACAAAAATAACAACTCAGCATATCATGGGTCTATTAACAAAAAACACTCTTCGCGTAATCTTGAGGAGGGGATGGCCTGGGCGCTTTATCCCATGAATGAAACAAAACAAACAAACAAAACGAAGAAAAGTAGAGATGGGACTGACTTGGGGCGAGGCGTTGAAGTTAGCGAAGAACCGACAAGAATGGCGTCACCGTGCCGTGGCCCTATTTCCCGCTATGGAAGATGTGGATAACTAACTAACAATAGAGTGGTTTTAATTAACCCGTGAAACACACTTTAGCGTATTTATCGCTATTACACTTCGGCTCTTTTGTTTTTTTATTGTCTCTACGCGACTATTACGATCAATTACTCTCTAATTACTACACTTTGTTTCACGGGTTTATGAAAACCACTCTAACTATCTCACCCCTTGGATCCTAGCATGCAAAAAGTGGACTACCTGTGTATCAGTCACGTTCTGATTCGCTAAAAAAATTCAAAGTTTTTAAAATAGRCAATYTGAAGCGACGCAAWTGTGTGTAACAAAGCATATTATGGGGGTTGTAGCACTCACACTTTTTCATGTCCGCAAAAACAGTACTCCCAAGCCATTTTGTGCTTTTTCTTTGTAAAAATAGAGTTCGTTGTGTCGTTTCTATAATAGAAAAGAAAGACGCAGCTTTTAGGGAGATTTTTTAGCAGGGKTTATAAAAAGTGAGAGGACTACAACTACCATCTTGTACAARATGGAAAAATGGAGCTTAGTGCTGCCYCTTAGTGCTGCCCCATCGTGATTTCGGAGTCACTTACTGTTCATATTGTCTCTTTTACAATCATAWTTCTTGGATTTCTAGGAGTGGCCAATGKGTTTYTTGGAAGAAAGGTAACAAATTGGTTTCCAGCAAGATTGTAATACTTTCAGAAATAACACTATTCTTTTCCCAGGAAACTAAAAATTCTGTAAATATAAAACAAGCTTTCGAGGGGCTAAAGGATCTGCGTTCCTCAAAATTGGGCAATAAAACAAACAAACAGACACAAAAAAAAACTGTACAAGAATTGCTTATCAGAATAAGATCTGTTCAGCATCCCATTCCCAGGAAAAAAAATCGTATTAAAGAACAGGTRTTTAGAAGTCTCAGTCTCAAGTTCCTAATGAATTTCAGCAAGACAGCAATCTTTGTATTCTATGTGTTCTATGCAAATCTATGAGTTCTAAAATTAGAGACAAAATTGAGGCTTAGCCAGGRTTWAAAAAGGCTGRTTAAGCCGTCGTGTTCGGTAATGGATTGTCACAAAAACCAAAATTTTGTTCKCCATTAAATGACTCTGAAAGATTTGATGAATCATTTTGAATGATGGATTTTCCATCAGCATTGTTTGTGCYCAATCCTGATATTTTTCGTCGCACTTGAGCACTGATTTTCCTGACAAAAGATGTCTTCTTCTCCTGACTGTCCTCACTAATGTCTATTTCTTCAAGAATACCATCAATAGTTTGATTTTTGTGCTTATTTGAAGTTCTTTTGTTAGGAGACATTGGAGTTGATGCTAGTTGATTCTCATTAGTGTCCAAGCTTTCCTCTAAGTCGAAAGTCTCCTGTAGAGTGTCAATGCTTCCTGTGCTTGACTGRTTATATGCCTGGTAAAGGAAAAGTCCCTTTACTGCTTTGCTTTCAGTGTCAAGATGAGTAAACATGCTCATTCGTCTCTCTCTTCCAAGGACTGGTCGAGTTGACAAGCTCTCGACAGGTTCAAGTTTCGGCTCCACATTTATGCGCCTCGCTTTATTGAACATCTTTCGCATTCGAGGTATTTTGGACAAGGTTGAGACCTGGTCGATTTTAGTATCAATTGTCGCTATGTCATCCATTGCTTTCTTTATTCTTGTTCTCTTGGCGCTGACAGTGAATATCAAAATACATGTTACAACTTCACTTAACCTCAGGACTGTCTGCAGAGCCCACCAGCTCCAAGCGTCGACAAATTTAACATCAGAATACACTCCGAATACTCCAAACATTGTGTAGACCATTATAACTACCAGRCARTAATTAGCAACTCCTGATGCATGGATYAAGAACACATAGAGTTTATCTTGTTTGTCTTTTTGAGGCTTGTGACCAAAAAGTTGCTTCTCCAAGACATAACCAAGTCGAATGTATCCCGTTCCAAGCACTGAGCCCCAAATAACATAAAAMACTTGACAAAACAATATCATTCCTTTCGCAGAAACATATAGGGAGACAACGAAGTCAGTCAGTATTACAAAAATRAAATGTACGGTGACAATCACTGCGATGACCTTGGCCTTCTGCAATGCAGGTACAGTGATTCGTAAACGACTTGTCTCCAGAAGAGCTAATATAATTAGCGAATCAGAAGCTGTTAAACAAGGTCCCCCTATGGACCATATTATACGCATTAGTTGTAATGCCTTAATTATGTCCCCCTGATGATAAGGGTCCAGGTACATGACGAAGGCCCTTGTCAGGCAGAAGACAAGAACCATGATGTTAAGACTAACGCTGAGGTACTTCTGTTCGAGCCCATCATAGAGATTAAAAACCACGTAATAAGCCGCATAGAAGCCCATTATCAAGAAACTAGTGGCAAACAAGTAGACGTGTATGTCCCAAGCACTTTTCCACGTCTTGAATGCTTCAGCCCACAAGGGGCCAGGTTCGGGCCATGATTCAGCTTCGGGTTCTGGTTCCGGTTCAGAGGTGGTATTCGGTTCAGGATTAAGCTCGCTCTTTGATTCTGGTTCGTTGACTGGTTCACCTTCAGCTGCAGCTAAACGAATGAGAAGAAATGGGTTATTTATAAAACGASAACAGTGATGKAAATGATAAAAACAATTGAATGTTTTCAATCATTCCCATGATGATTCAAAACATATAAGACCGGCGGCCATGTTGGAGGAATGGACAATATGTACTAGTGTGAAGTCACTCGTTGAAGCTCATCCAAGATGCAGGCCGCTGTGCGTATAGTGAAAACGAAGAACAGCAATGTATACACTGCTATGGGAAAGGGAGAAAATAGCTGACTTGAATGGTTGCAGTAATGAAGTAATTGTAATGCTAACAGCAATTGCAATGGTGAAAGCAATAAAGATGATAATTTAGTAATTAAAATTAGTAAAAATGGAAACAATAACAGCCGACMTGCGAATTTTACTTCAGTAGTGAAACAGAAMGAAATCTCAAGACGAGGCGTCAGAAGACAATACTTTTTCATGGCGTCTTGTCTTCACTCATCTGTATTTGACTACTGAGGTGAAYATGATTCGGAATTTTTGAGTTGTACACTACTACAAGAACACAGATTRTAACRAAGAGATACAGGCAATGCAAAAAACGAAGATGTCCAGTAGGACAATAGGCATTGTCTGACATTATCCTACAATTCTTTGTTTTGTTGTCTCGATCAATCWCAAGCTTCGTTCTGACGGTAGTGRTCGCTKTTATCTTTCACGAGTTTGTAAGGTTTCTTGTGATTGGAGGAATAAAACAATGCTCTTTGTTTCCTCGTTTTTAAATTCTATTGTTTTCTTTTATTTAGCAAATACTGATATGATCTTGCAAAACCGTGAAGGCTACCCAGTGGTCGACCCAAATTTTTCCATTGCAATGGTATTGTATAGAAACTAGTATATTGTATAGCATTTATAGAAACCAACGCAATAGTAATGATAAAAAATACCTCGTTCATGTCTTTGATGCTGAGGCAGAACGATCGCTGAAGTCATAAGAATAAACCAGCTAAAAGCGATGAACAGCCTGCCTGTCAACTAAACAGAAAACAATTCATGATTAACACAGGAATGATTAGTCAGCTGATAGATGCTATTCTTACGAGCACTCTGATTGGTTCATATCGGTGATATTCATTGGCACGCTATAACATTTAGATGCAGTTTTACGAGCACTCTGATTGGTCCATATCTGTGATATTCAATATACGCTATTACATAGATGCATTTCTTGAGAGCTCTCTGATTGGTCCATATCTGTGATATTCAATATACGCTATTACATATAGATACATTTATTAAGAGCTCTTTGATTGATCCATATCTGTGATATTCAATAAACTCAAGTATGTTAAGGCCTGGTTCAGGCCAGAATTTGGTGCAAACTTTGAAAATTCATAAACTCTCGACACATAWGCTTAACAACACCAAATTCAAGACATAATTAGAATTCAGCATTTTGAACTTCCTTAAGACGAAACCCTGTCCTTAAACTGATCACGTGATCAACCACGTGATGGACAAGTTTTGAAGTTTAATTTAAAATGCGGTCGCCAGTATAGAGTAGATACTAAAACAAACAAATGAAACTATTTTCTTTTTTAAATATTAAGACAACATCGTTGTTAAATCTTGTCTAACAATTTTCGTTAAGGAGATATTTAGGAAAATGGGTCACGTGACCATTCCTCGAAATTACGTTTTCTTGATTTTCGAAATATTTAAAATCTTGAGACAAACTTTGAAAGCGACATCTTTTTTTAATGGCAACCCTTAACTATTTAGGACCGAAATGATTTCATTTTGTATTAAACTCACAACCGCATTTTAAAAATATTAAATTTCTAGCCTTAAGGTCACGTGACCACTTGATGTCAATATTGAACACTCTAAATTGTCACAAACGTTAAATGAAAAATTGTGTCAAAACATGAATACAGTAGATGAGAAYCATATCGAGTTATACACAAAAACACTGTTTTCAGCCTAGCCTCTGTGAACCAGGCCTTAACGTACTCGAGAAACGCTATTACATATAGATACATTTCTTAAGAGCTTTCTGATTTGTCCATATCTGTGATATTCAATATACGCTATTACATATAGAAACAGTTCTTAAGAGATCTCTGATTGGTCCATAACTGTGATATTCAATATACGCTATTACATATAGATGCATTTCTTAAGAGCACTACTCTGATTGGTCCATATCTGTGATATTCAATATACACTATAACATAGATGCATTTCTTAAGAGCTTTCTGATTGGTCCATATCTGTGATATTCAATATACGCTATAATATTTGATTCAGTCTAACGAACACTCTGATTGGTCCACGAGCACGAGCTAACAACCTCTCTGCTCTGATTTTACAATGGCGGCTTTACTTTAGATCACGCAACACACACAGTAGCTTTTGATCTATTTTGCAATTTTTTTATGATGAACAGTTTTTTATCGAATGGTCAGCATTAATTGAATTCTGGGTCTTTCTTCTCGCTTTAAATTTTTATTTAAAAAAACTGGCGTCGAAACATTTTTGACTGGTCTCAATTTTGCAATGCATCACGGATAATGCTGAGGGAGGACTGGGTACGAGACAGATGCYTCGCCCTCGGCTTTAATTATTGATATTCTTGTGTAATAATTTTAGGTATAAGACAGAATAAGCTCACAGTAAGTACAGCAGGTGTCACCTTATATTGAAAAGATAAACATTTCATTTAAAAGACATCTATAAATCTCTAAAAGTTAAATAATCAGTCTAGTGGCCTCCAGACGAGATTTTTTCTTTTCTGTGTCTGGTTGAAATAACACTTTATGCTCACTGATTATTACAAAAAAAAACACATAAGGAAATGGAAATACGATATTTACAGATTCTTCACTAAACTGAATGTCGATCCAATTGAAAAAATACATGAATTGAGCAAATAAAAGTGGGTGTTTTATCTAAGATATTTACTCAATAACCTTCCATTTCCTGCTCAATATTAAACATGTCTTTATAATAACAACTTCATATTTTTTCTAATTTTTATTTCTTTTTAAAGAATGCTATCATCTGCCGCAAAATCGGAATTAGAAAAAACCGTTAATCATTTTTAATTGATTGGTGACGAAAACAGAGAACTGGCTTTGTTTGGGTCTTTTGTTTTACGATAATGAGACGCCCCGTTCAACTGTCGGTTTTCAATAAGGTATAACAGCAAACTTACTAGTAATTAGTGCTACCTTTGATAGCCTATACAAAATGAATACAAATTTGCTTAAAATCAATTGTAAGAAAATAAACGAAAAGTTGAGAACGCTACACTAAGAAAGCTTGAATTCTATGCCATACAGCGATCTATAGCCAACGAAAAATTCATTCATCACAGCGAAAATGAGAGTACAGAAAGTTAAACATAAATAAAAATTGAATGTATGCATATTTTAAGAAATCAAAAAAATAATAACAATCAAAACTGTAAAAAAAATTGAAGAGGGCTAAAAATTGAATAAAAAAAAGTAAAAAGGAAGAAAACAAAAACGATTACAACTGCTCTCTTGAAACGAACGTTATAAAATTTTAATGCGATCAACGTAGAACTTAGAATGAAAGTTCGTTTGCATCACCGCATATTATTACAAATACTTGAAAATGAGGGAAAAAACATATCAAAATAAAGGCGAAAATTRTCTTGGAAGTGAAAAAAAGATATTACATATATAATAACTTACATTAATTGAGGTGTGATTAAACTTTAATCAGATAAACGCCGTACAAGTAAAAAGAATTGCAAGAAATTTTAAACAACCCTTTTTTAACAGGTTTAGAACAACAGAGCAGAAAAGAATTAAACAAATGAATATAAAAATTACTGAAAAAAAAAACAGACCGTTAAGCTGTCACCTTATATCAATACTCCGTATCCTTGGATACAATAAATGTGCTTTCAAACACACATCTAAAAGTTGTATTTAGTAACATCCAAATTCAGTAGCTATATAAATTAAGCATATTTACACTAAATGTAAATCAATACTCGAGAGTTTGACAGTATATATATATATGTAAGAATATTATCTTACTTTTGTTGCGGAAACACTCCTTCTTGAGGCCATGAAGTTGACTTTTCTTAGTGCTCTTTCTAAGCCCAGTTTCTTCTCGTTTGTTTTCTTAACAAAAATCTTCACTTAAATCTTATAAAAGCAGCTTTTTGCTCTCTACTTCCTTGTTTCTATTTCGCTCATCTGATTCCTGTTTCAATCGAAGAAGCATGCGCGAAGATCAGTGATTRTTTTTTCTGTGGTACATCGACTGAGCGCGCAGGTGTGCACCATACCCTGCGCCATGAATAATTGATTATTTTTAGCACCACTGAAAAGACAAACTGACGGAACAATTATATTATGGACAAGTTTCATAGAATTAAAAGCTATTTTGAAGAGTGCAGAACATTAATTTGCTTCAAGAATACTTTCAAAGACAATTTCAAAGAAGCCGAGCTTTAACTGTCATGTTCAATTTGATTGTGGTTCGCCCAAACTGGTAGGAATTAATCCATTGTCCCAGCTGATTAAGCTACAAAGGATTAATTCCCATGTTGTAGTTTTTTATTCCGACGAATGATTAACGTYCGAAGCATCAGTAAGTTATTTCACTTACTTTTTACGGTGTTAAATTTATTATTACACTGTTTCTTTAGAAACACCGACCACGCAGCTCACACTAGTTTACCGCTAGTTCCCACCATTTTTTTTAAATTATTACTTTTCTTGGAATGAATAATAATAGAATAGACTGGCTGGCGCGGGATGCTCTGTGTAGAACGTAATGCAGTAAACGTTTAACAGAATACAAGCAAAGCGGGTTTGTTTTTGGTCTTTTTGAGTGTTCTTCGGCATTTTCAAGTACTTTATTCACTAGCAAACCGACCAGTGACGTCAATCTGTGCTTCATTGTTTCTATTATGAAAAAACTGTATAATTTTCACAATAACAGTGGCAAAATATTGCAAGCGTTCTTTTTGGACCAATCAAAAACAGCGTTAAAAGCCAATCCATGATATATTTGATGTGTAAGTCATACTCGRTCTAATGTCATAACAAACGTTTGCGTTCATGATCTTTTCCTATAACAAGTTAATATATTGTGCTTATTAAAGAAATATGAGCTTTGGGAAGTTTACAGCTATTCTGAGGCTGATTCGAGTACTTAAGCTCAAAGTCGCTTCATAATTATTACTTTGTATCAGTTTAGATATTTTTACCACAGCATCGCTTAATTGAATGAGGCATATAAAATCTGAAAACTTGTGGAAATGACAATAAAAATTACGATGTTTTTTGTTATCTTATCTTAAAACTGAGCCATTTTGGACTGTTRAGTGAGCATTGTATTGATCTGTAAGTAGCGTTGACGCATATATAGTGGCAAAGAATAGTACCATAGTCATTGAAATACAAAAGACTGTAACAAAAGAGTTTAAACGCTGTTCTGCAAACTATAGAAAATTACGGCACTTCAATCTCAATATTCAAGCTAAAAAAATCTTTAAAAAAAATCTTAACGCTTCCGATATTAACTTGAAAATACTGAATATCAACTGTCAGAAAGGTCTTAAACTGTCTTATCTAAAGCTTTTTATAAATAATACCGTTCAGTAGATTTGCAAACTCGAAGTTATAGTTGAATTCATTATAATCGGTAAAAAGAGTACTCCGGCAACTGTTACATTTTCACTGCTTCTCTCGAACTGAAGAAAAYGTAGGACGATATCAAGCGCAATATAGTTCTATAATTGTACGACTTACCGGAATCTTTAGACAGCGAATGCTCATATCAGGATCGATTGTTGGCTTGTGGAGTGACACTGAAAGTTAAAAACACAAGCAATTACACGCAAGCTAAACGGTTCGAAATGTAATTTTCACTGTGTGAAAAAAAAAAATGTGTGAAGTGTCTTTAATTTAATGGCATATATGAAGGCAAGACCAGGTGATAGATGTTACCTTAAATCCCTGGCAACGTTAAGCAAGGTACTTGACTGAAGAAAATTACAGAAAGAGCGCCAACTATTAGATATCATCGCACAAAAAACATTGTACTTCAGGGTTCAATGTTGGGTCCTAACCCAGCGAGAGATGAAGCGAAGTGAAGTCAAAAGGAAGAAGTGTCGCTCTCGGTTGCTACATCACGCTGTCCTTTCTCAGTAGGTTGTATCGTGGCAACAAATGTACAATCACGTATATGTGTCAGGTGCAATGGAAGTATATTTGATCATCAATAAAAATCATTTGAATTGTGAAAGCTTAATAAGCTTATATTGCATAGCCCGAAGAAATGTTTGAATTATTGAGCAGAAAATTCTTGAATTATCTTCAATCACAAATAAATGAGCAGTTCAGAAGTAAAAAAAAACTGAAGTTCAATTATCTTAATGTTTCGATGCCATTATTAAAGCATTTCCCATAATTCCTACTGAGACCAAATTACCCGGACCAACGATTAATATATATTATGTGATGTTTTGTATACTTTTTCGATGTTGAATAATCGACTGCTACCAATATTTACCCTATCGAATCTTATCAATGTTATAACAACTCAATGTGATACTTCAGTACTGTGGAAATTTGCTGAAGCGAAGAAGCATCTTTAAGTAAATAAATATAATAGAAAWATGAATAAGTTATCTCAATACCAGGAAACGAAATCATTAAATCGAATTGACGAAGTTTTTTCTGTAAATTAATTGATATTCAGTCAATTTATACCAACCATAAAAATATCAAACTTTCATGTGATTGTTTGTTATCATCAGTGAATCAAGGGCCGTAGCTAGAACATTTGAAGGACTTTCACTTCATAAAAGCCGAACATGAGAATAATGTTTTCTTTCGAGGCAAATGACATTGATTGAGTACTACACAGTTCAGACGTTTTCCGAAAAACTGCTCCAAAAATATAGTATTATATAGTATTATAGAATAAATGGTATATGGTATTCAATTTGTGGTTAACTTTGTTCCTCATATRCTACTTCATTACTAGCTAGAGACTTTACAATGCATCTCTTAACTCTGAAACACTTTGTAAAACATTTATACTAATATTTTACAATTTTTTGACGATTAGTAACCCTATGAAAGCAGGTCCGTAGACTAAAATCCAGGAATTGGCGAGTTTTTTACTCGGTACCATTAGACAGTGTACCTGAAATTTAAGGCTTTTCACATGTCGCTTTTAAAAAAGTAATAATTGAAATATTCCTATCACTAGATTACAACATAAGCAACATAAGCACAGCTATTGTTAAATAATCAATAATAAAAATTTGTCGTTTATATTACAAAGTATTACACGTATTAATTGCTTGTACTGTAGAATATGTAATGTKCGCTTTTTTGTGGTTTAAAAGAYGATGCAGCCTGGACGGTTCTACTCTGAGAATGGGGCGCCATCCGATTACCTCCCCACCCCTACCCCCAAAACCCCCATTAGCTCACTTATACATCTACAGCAATATGCAGAAATTCTGACCACTTTGACTCATATTCCAACTATATATAAAATATATCAGAAATTATGGGATATCATCGCTGATATTTTTTTCAGATACTACTGATCCTAGGCAACTTCAAAAAAATACCAGTGACCATATCCCATAATTTCTGATATATTTTATATATAGTTGAAGTATGAGTCAGAGTGGTCAGAATTTCTGCATATTGCTGTATATAGCATATATTATACAGTTCACTATATAACTGTGTAGCTTACAGACTCGAAAGGTTTTTGAAACGTTACCATAACAAGATAGCATGATCCAGTAACGACACAGCGTTAACTAAAGTAGGGGGTATTATATTTTCCAGAACCAACATAGAAAGTCTAGATAATACATAACTTATTATCAGTGTAATTGAATTTTTCTTGCCGGAAAATGCTGGGGGTTTCTAGCGGCCCTTTCCATGTGCCATCCATGTGACCCGCGCTGGAGATATGCCTTCTAGTAATTATTGATAAATGTTTTCTTAAAGAATTGTTTCTGGGAAACTACAGCACGTTTAATGTTTTTTTTTAAATCACTATTACGACCAAGGATGATTCTAGTTTCTCGAAGAAAATAGAACAATTTATTGATCGTTGCTCAGCAACAATATCTAGTGATGGATTGCAAAATCACAATGTGGAAATCAATCGTTACGATGAGACCATCTTCTGATCGTTTGYTTGTCTTAAAATAGATTTCATTTCTTTTTTTTTTAACAAATAACTAGATATAATCAGATTGATTGTCTGATTTGATTGATTGATTGGTTGGTTGATGAATTGATTGATTGATTAATTGATTGATTCATTCATTCATTCATTTATTCATTCATTGGGTGGTTGGTTGTATGGTTGGTTGATTGGGTGGGTGGGTGGTTGAGTGGGTGGTTGATTGGTCTGAAYTTTTTCATGTAAGTACAGCAAAGCGCATTGTTGTATTAGAACTTATAACCGACCCCAATCATAGTGATATGCAACAATAATGACTATTGTTTTATACATCATGCTCACGAACAATTCATCATTTTTAGCCTAAATCTCAAACTTTATTCTAGCCGCCATTTTGTTTTGTCTGTTTTTTCGTGACCAAGGGCAAGATATGAACTGATGTAGTGCAGTAGCCAATCACAGCTTATGTCAATCTTAGTGAATATGATAAATAAGGTTGTCTTAGAATTGTTTCTCGTGTGAATACGGTGTATTTCCTACGCGGAAGATAACACTAAATATGATTTCCAAACATAGTGTTGTTTCTATCATAGCTCTATCATCCAAAATGGCGGCCATCCGGTGATGACAAAGTATCACTCCTACTAAGACTCCTCAGTCAAGGTCAAGAACGCAATACAATTAGGAACAAGTGCAGATTCGCCTCTTGACCGAAAAAGGTTCAGTATTTTGCGAGATTTTTGAATTCGACATCCAAGTTTTAAATCATTCGAGATCCACTGAGGTTCTCATTGACCGACATCCAATTTTGAATTCCGGCGACATTCATATTCTACATTTCACGTTCTTAATTCGAGGGTCATTCCAGTTTTTGTGCCATTTAAAATTCACATTTTATTATCGATAATATAGATATAATCGATATTAAAGTTTTAGATCGGTCATCAAGTCGAGCGTCATCACTTCATGGTACGAAGACGCTCGTGCGCGGCATGTTTTTATTTAGTTATTTTTTATTTATTTTTTATTTATTTTGTATTTTTTTGGTGGGGGTGGGGGAGGGGGGATTTGTGTAATTTTTACATTAAGCATTCCAAAATCACACTTTACGAGATAGTTGAGTCATTCGAATGTTGCTTATTAATACATGCAGTTCCCAGGAGAAATCAGATATCCAAATCAGAAAAGCAAACAAGCAAGCAAAACTTGAACCCGAGGCAAATTCACCACTTCACAAAACTCCCTTCAAGTCGCGATAAAAAATTGATTAAAATATAAGCAAGAGTCAACGTATCTCACTCTTATTGTGAATTAATCTTACCTGCAGTTTCTGCATCATCGAGTTTTGCATGATGGCGATAGACCATCATTACAATCCCGGTCAAAAGGGTTGAGACAAAGTGATGAAATTAGTGTTTTTATATGTTTACTACTGAAAAAAACCTAATTTAAAACCCCCTTCTCCCCTAAATCAATGTTGTGAGTTTTGAATTATCATTTGTGGTCTTTCATAAACTACATTCCTTCATTCAACTTTGTAATGAGGGGAGCGGGGAGTAGGGAATTGTAGGCATTTAAAAGTAACCTCCTCAAATTTCATTAATTTTAGAGTCAAAAAATGGAATGTCTCAACTAGTTTTGACCGGGATTGTAGCTATATGTAATATGSCATAGAGTTGTATGATGTTACTGATGTCTCCTATGCATGTAAACACCTTGAGAAACCTCATTTAAGATTTATAACCCTTTACGGGTAATGTTTAATTTTGGCGGAGCAGTTTTACATGTGACGGGGCTAGCGTTCTTCATTTCCACCCATCCATCCCCCGTTGTCACCACAGGAAATCAAGTCTCTGCTGGTTGTATAAGACCAGACGTCTTTTTCTATCTTAGACAAAATGGCTATCTCAGATCTCAACAACAAAAAGTGTGTGAGTGTGTCGGGGGTGGGGTGGGGGTGGAGTCGTGTGGGGATGAGGGGAAGCGGATATGGAAAGGGAATGTTTGAGCAAACATGTTTTCCTTCAAGTTATTTTTATCTTATCTTATTTTTTTAKTTGTAGTTTTTGTTATTCAAATTCATTCTCGACTTTCTCAGTTTTGATATCTTGTGCTTTATCTTTTAAATTTCCTTCGTTCTTTGGCACGAAAACGAAGCTTGCCGGAAAATAAACTCTGCAAGAGATGGTAATTTATTCGTTGGCTTCTTCAACTGGAATTTGGATATGTTGAGCATTTTGAGTCGAGTCGCGTGATTTTCATTTTTAGAATACTATGTATGCTTAGTTATAAGTGATGATCTTGAATGAAAAAATACTGTAAAAATGTTTCATTAAATTTGAATTGCAACAGCTAAATATAACTAAAAACTGAAAACGAAGAAAAACATAAACGGCGAGCATACATCAATCWACCTGGCTGACTACTGATTGATGAGGCTGCAAATCCTTGAGAAGTTACCTTTTTTATGTTCCAGTGCACATGTCTAGTATTTTAGTAATGATACTTGTAGAAACTGCTTTGAAAAATTTGAAAATGTTTTACCTTGATAACTTGCCATCAGCCAGTTCAAAGAGACTCGACAAGAACCATAACCAAGTTGACTCAATCGCAYAGGAATAATCATTTAGACAAAATAAGACGCAATGCCAACAAGTAACAATTATATTGACACATTTACCTTTTGAAAAATGAATACATTTTCGCTTCGTCAACATCTAAAACAAACKTTTTATCCACAATATAAAACTAGAAAAATAAATGTAATTAAATCCCTTCGAGTTTGATAATTTGTTTTCGGTAACGATTCAGAAGGGTCACAACCACGATATTTATAAGTTCGCATCATAGTTAATAGAGGGGACTACATCTCCCTCTATTAACTATGTTCGTATT